AAAAAAAAAAAAAAAAAAAATAAGGATAAATGACGTATTGGAAAGTATGTGATTTCATATTTTATTTTGTTTTTTTATTATTTTTATTATTATTTTTTCTTCTCTTAGAGTAAAATATGTCGAATATGTAGGTAAGATACACACATATACATGCAGGTAAGCAGGATGAAGACGAAGAGACGACCTGCCTGTCTCGGCCAATATTACCCTTCCATCGGGTCGATAAGAGGGGAAAAATCAAGAAGACGAACGAGGTGCATAAGCACAAAGTTCATACATATTATCAACATTTTCCAGAGCCTTGTCTTGCCTTCTTGGTATACAGGCATATGTAATAGCGTGTTGCATATTATATTGCCAGGATGATGCGTGATCCCTGTCAGTGTCCAAGAAACGATTTGTCATGAACGAGCAGGAGATGCAGCGAGGCTCCGTCGTAAAATGGGCGAGCAAGACATCGAACGCTGATAAATCACGGGAAGCAGCGGGTAGCAGGGATGACGGGAATGTAGTGGGGAGGAAGATGCAGACGGGGATATTGGCAGAGGTCCAAAGGTACGGAGTAGATGGACAGCAGAGGAGAGCGGTGGTATAGGGGTGTTGTTTGGGTATTTGGGTTTGGGGGTATATGGCTATGTGCTGGAAGCGGAAGATGGGTATACTTACAAGAGGGCGGGGTGAAATTACAGCACGCAGGCAAGGGGTATAAAAAAAGAGGGAAGCAAGCAAGATAGTTATACAGGTAACCTTCAAACTCCTCTCCCATGGGCATTAAAGAGTAATCAAAGTGATGAAAGAAGCGAGCAAAACCACATCCGCTAAGCTGAATAAATCCAAAAAGTAAAGCGTATATATGTGGAGGGCGTGAAAAGAATCGGAGAAGCAACTGAAGGAAATCCGTTAAATGGCATGAAAGGGTCATTAGCAAGGTATTCGTGAGCGAAGCAGCAGGTGCTTGTAGATCAGGGTTCTTTTGAGTAGCGCATATTACTCTCGATATCGCGGTTTAATAGACCACCGAGATCCTGTAGTTCGGGCACTCCCGGGGCACTCGGCGAGTCATCTCGAGGACGAACCTCGTCAGGAGATATGTCGGGAGAAGGCGGTCTTCTGTCGTGGTTTGGTGCTGGCCGGGCTCCAGTAGCCAGGTATGTGTTGTTGAGTGTAGGACGCGAGAAGTTGGGTAGCACCCGTGGAGAACTGCCTGGCGATGGGGAGGATTGGCTGGGGGAGCTTCCGCTGCTTGAGGGGGAGAGGAATCCAGCTACGGTGCGGAAGAGATGTGTCCGGCTACGGGAGGGTCCAGGGGCTTCAGGGAGGGCGTTGGGGGGAGAAATGTGTGCCGCAGGAGGCGGAGGGATGGGCTCTTCCTTGGGCCTGGGGGGATCGAGCAGTCCGCCGACGTCGTTGAGGGATACCTTGGAAAGGGAGATGTATTTGGACGGGGTGGCGCTGTTGGACCTGCGGGCTGGCGGACGGGAGTTTGTTTCTATATACTCGTAAGGATGGACTTTCAGACCGCTTAGGCTATCAGAGGTGGACGTACGGTCGTCATCTGCAAGCTGCTGTGCGGATGGGAATTGCCAGTTGCGATCCACGGAGCCCCGTTTGGACAACACAGCATGAGGAACGGCTACTGGAGCAGGCCGGATCTTCTGGTAGCTCAGCGGGCGCAGACTGGGATCGAGCCTGATGCCTAGGTCGCTGACAAGATCTGCATCAGAACCCCAATGGTGGTGAGTGATGGTGGCCCGGCGGGAGGTCGTCTGTTCCAGGCTCTCGCTGAACGAGGCAGCTTTGAACTTTTGCTTCTTCAGGCCACGGTCCCGGACGAAGGATCCAATGACGATGGCGTTCGATACGGCAGCGGCAGCGAGGATCTCGAGGGAGGCCAGCAAGGAGCGGTATTGTTGAGATCCTTGGTGGGAGATGACGGACGGTATCCGGTAGCAGGTAATGGCCACCAGAACGAGCGGGAGAGTGAAGAGCAGCGTCAAGGAGATCTTGCGGCCTGTAGGCATGGCGGACAGCTGGATGATGGGGATGGGAAACATGACCAGGAGCAAGTCTGTGACGACGTTGCAAGTCCCCATGGTGATGAGCTGCGCATAGCCCTGACGACACTGCGGCCCCGGGTCAGGGGAGACCTGCCAGTAGTGGTCGAAGGGCTGGCACTCGGTCAGGGTGGTGATGACCACGGCGACGAAGGTGACTGCAAGGAAGAAGCGGATGATCTGGAGGACATACTGGAACGAACGCCTCCAGATCTGCGCTGTGATGCGTCCCAGGAATTCGGCAATGGTGAACTTGGCCGTCCATATACTGTACATCCAACGTTAGATGTTGTACAAAAAATGAGGTAGTAATATACCTTGTTTATGACGTAAAAAATCTCAAGACAAAAAGAATAAATAAATAAAAAGACTTACAAAATGGCGTAAAAGATCCTCGCACCAAATACCATGCGACTCCCTATCTCGCGCTTATGGATCTCGTCTGGCGAGAAGCGGTGGTGGTACTGTGAGGCATTGTTGGTGCCGAACAGCAGGACTACATGGGTGAAGCCCATGCGGATGAGCAGCGGGATGGTACTGAGCGCCATCACCCAGTCCTCGGTGAAGAGCCTCTCCGTCCGAATGTAGCGGCCGCAGACACGCACGAGGATAATGGCGAGCGAGAAGCCCGTCGCCCACCAGCTCACCAGCAGCGTCGGGTTGACCTGCATCCTCGTCTGGGCCCCCGGGGGCCGGGAGTACAGCTTGGAGGAGAAGCCGGAGTCCATGTCAATCGTGAAAAGAGAGAGAAAGCAGACGTCCTAGGCTCCGAGCGGCAGGCTATGAGCCAGTACCATCGCAGAGAGTGACAGGATGTTCAGTATCAGCTGTCGTCGTTGTAGTATATCCGGAGTATATGTGTGTGTATATGTATATCAGGACGATATAGCCTGACTCCGGAGTCCATCAACACACGCCAGGAAGCGTCTTCTTCCGGGCAACAGCTCATAGACACCCAGTCCGGAATTGCAGCAGAGCAGAGTCCGGGGAAAGCTGCGATGGAGGCAAAAGAATGGCAGATGTAGTACGTAGTTTTATGCACTGCAGCAGCCGGGCAGTTATAGTTAACAGGAGCAACTCCTGGATATGGGCTGCTCCGTGCCCTTTTGCGCCGTTGGCTTCGGGTCGTTTCTTTTTCTGCGCAAAACCACACGTGGAATCTGACGTATTGGCGATACAGGGCATAATAATAAGGATGCTGGCAGTAGTAATACGAGCCAGGAGGGAGATGAAGGAGAAGACGGAGGAGATATAGAAGTGGAGGAGGGAGCAGGCGAGAAGAGCAGAGCAGAGGAGAGGAGACAACAGCGCCTCGACAGGGCACAGCAGGGAACAAGACAGCTTCGGCAAAGCGAGGGACAAGGCCAGCAGAGGGACGAAGGGACAGACGGGAACGATCGCCCCGGGTTTAAAGGAAGCAGAGCAGCCAGAGAGGTCAAGCGGGCCAGGGACCAGGGTTTTAAGCAGAGGGACCGGTCTGTGGAGAAGCGGACGTAAGAGCACGGTGTGGCCATTGGATACGAGCCAGGCTTTGGAGAAACCAATGTCTCTTGCAGGCTGCGTGCGGGTTGTCTGATTGAGTCCAGTGCTTGGGACAGAGTAATGTTTCTGCTTCTGCTGCTGCTGCTGCTGCTGGTGATGGTGATGGTGCTGGTGATGGCATTCTCAGGGGGGCTCATTTTGATATCTGGCAATCTGACGTCGACGCCCCCTGAGACCAGCAGCAGCCAGCACCACCGCTGCACCACGACTGCAGCGAGGACCATCCCTGCTGCTGTCTCTGGCTCTTATGCTCACGCATTTCTCAGTCGACTTGTCGCGCCAGAAGCCCGATATCTGGTCGGCGGGACGCCTGTGACCTCCGACCAAATCTTACGTCAAGCGAAATCCCAGCTTCACGAGATCACTGGCGGCCGTTCGGGCATGATTGGATCGTCGCGCCGCCCAAGAGGGCCCACCTGTCGCTGTGTCTTCTGTGCATGGCTGGCTCTAAGTTTCTTTTCTTTTCCTGTCTTCTTTGCTTCTTCGTCGGCGTCGTTCGTTGCTTTTTCGCTGCTGGCTTTACTCCTATTACGGTTGCTGCTCCCAAACGGCGCCAGTCGACCGCTAAGAATAATAAGTCAAAACATGGAATAAGAATAAGAATACGCAAAGGCAGGCGCCAGCTCCAGATATAGAACAAGGCCCAAAAAGCAGAGGCGATCATCGTGAGAGCACGCAGCCCAAGCGAGGCGGAACCCGAGGAGCGAGAGCGAGGTGGAGGGGAGGGGGGCGGAGGAGGAGGTTCAAGACGCAACACAAGACAAGACAGGCCATGCATGCGCGAGCAAGCTCCAGGGGGTGCTCTCGTCTGGAACCGAGCGAGCCATCCTCGTCCCTTAATTGCTGCTAATAAGATTAAAACAGCTTGGTCTGGTGCTGGTTGGCCTGCCAGGATGGCGACCTTCGCCTACCAATCCAGTCCAGCTGTCAGCACCGCAGCCAGAGTATACAACTGCTGCTAGCCGCCCAGCCAGGTCGGTTAGAGGCAGTCTGCCCGCCCATGGATCCAATGGAGTAACCGAGCGAGCCACGTCTCTGCTGCTCGTGTGATGCCTGTGACGCCTGGCGAGTCACTGAGTGAGCTAGCTAGCTCTGCCAGGGATTCTCCAGCTGTCTGTCCCCATCGCGAAACGGGGGTACCGTCCAACCAGGAGCGAATGAATACTGAGTTACGGAGCCAGAAGTCACTGCCTGCAGTCAACAGATATCAATGGCTGGAAGATTCAAAAGGGCCCCTCCAGTCACCGACTGATAAGGTGTCTATATCGAGGAGCGAGTCTATATGCTCCGTACGAATAGCTACTCGGGCTGATATCAGATAACGATATCGAAGAATTGGACCCATCTGACGGCCTGGTCTAGTGTGATGGAACAGTCGAATCAGGCGTGATATCTGTGACGCTACAAGTAGTGCGATGCATATGACAGTCCATCGCTAGCATTAGGAACGAAGACTGAGATCTGAGATGCCCTTCTTGCAACTTATCTAAGGAAGGGCCTTATCTAAGGGCTAATCGTCCTCTCTAGATACATGATCATCGAGGGCCTCGTGAAGGTTGATGCAGTAATGCACCGCTCCTCGCTACCTCTGGCCTTTCTTGAGATATCTGGAGAGTAACTAAATGTGACATCCACTTTGTTACTGCTCACCTGTCGAGGCTCTATCTTTACTGGCTTCGCCTTCATTAGCCAACCTGGCCTGCTAGTCAACTTGCTGGCTCGCCAACTAATATCAGGGTCGGGATGGATGTCGAGTACGTTGTAAGTACCAATAACCCCCTTAGACCGCTTAGACCGCTACGCAGCCAACCATAGCCATACTCATGCATAAATAGGAGTGTACTATTGGCGATCTCGTTGTTTCAGATGCATTCATTCCATTTAGAATATATTGACGGTATTATTTTCGACGTTGACAGCGAGATGGTCTATCTCGGAAGCGAAGGTCAATAATATCATCGTCCACAGCTTCGAATCTTGGGTCAACAACCTACTTCATGCAAGATTACAGGGCGCGCCTGACACCTTAGTATGGATGGACTAGACTGTTTGAATATTTAGCCGCTTAATTGGCCGACAGGTAGATTTTTTCCCCTACCATGATCTTGCTAAAATGCACTAGCTTCTAACCCTCCGCTTTGATGGCGTGAGGTTCTAGATTAACTCTACTCAGATGATAATGGCATATACATGGAATTTGCCTTCTCGGTGAATATGAATACTTCATACTTTAACTTCATCATGCATGGCTAGGGACACAACCATGAAGCGCCGCAACTATTGTACTCCTTACTTTATAATTACTGGCAGCACGGCCTCACTCAACTAAGAGTTTAAGATGGTAACTATGTATTCAGGGAGTGGCAACTACAGAGAAACGAATCTAGTTGACGGCTGGAGAGGCTCAATAGGCAACAACTCCGTGCAACGTACTCCGTACTTCAGGGGTTGTACCTTTTTTTGGATCGCTGCGAGCAATAATGCAGGCAACTATGAAATGCCCCGTACTCCGTACTCCGTACTCTGTATACTCTTGTACCTCTACTCCGGCATCTCGAGTCCCCAACCAGTTCCCAGCCGGGCCTCGTATATCAAAAAGAAAGCAGCGCCCGCCAGGCCTCCTCCGCCCTTTTCCTTAATCATCGAGAAGAGAGCAAACATCAGCAACCTCCAGCCTCCCCGGGAAGATCAATCCCTCTGCTCGCTCTGATCAACAACTTGGCTCAGAAAGTTCCGGCGTTGACTTTGGTGGCTGGCTCTGATCCCGCCCAACTCCACACGCACACGAGGGTTTCTATTAATACTTACATAGGCAAGTAACTAACTTCTACTTCTCCTCCGTTACAAGTACTACTAAATTGACACGATACGACCTCGGCGGAGATGGCTGGGAGGGCTTCCGCGTGTGAAAGAGCATGGCGGCTGAAAAAGCAGCGCAGCGGTGGATGGACGGCCTGAGCGATGAGATCGACTGGCCGAGGCGGCGGACTTGACGATTCGACCAACGCCTGGAGCCCTCGTCTGGGGTATTCATTTCGCTTATAGGCCGTCTGAAGTTGATAGCCATTCATACTTGTATTATTTGGAGTCAGGGGCTACATCAAGCAGGTCTCGGCGGATAGTTATCAAACTGTGCTATGCGGCCAAAATATCAACACGAGCAGCCAGCCAGCCAGCCGGCTCATGAATAATACCCGACTATGGAGTACGATCTCAACGTCTTCCACATGTCTTTTTTACGCCCGATCAACCCGTCTAGCGGAGTAACTAACTAGAAACAAGTTAGCTAACAAGTTTGTCTCCTCCCATGTCTTCTGGTATGTGCGTTGGTTAGTTACATATGCAAAAAGGGGGTCCCGCGATTCCCGCTCAGAGATCGGGGAGAAGATGCCCGCCCATCATCGTTCATCGCTCGATCCATCATCCATCCCCTTGCTCCCATGCCCTCCCTGGCCCGTCGGATGCATATCATGCTCGACTAAGAAAGTCCCCAGCAAGCCTGCTAGACTGACTTTGGTAATTGCATGAACGCCTGTTGGCAGGGTCCCTTTCGTGCGATGATGTCCTCGCGCTGTCTGCATGTCTGGGGTACTCAAAGCGAGGGCATGAGCGCATTTCGCGGGGGGTTGTCCATCCGATATCCTGCTTTTTCTCTTTTGGTGTCAAAGCCAACGGGATGCTGGCTTAAATAATACCTGCT